TCCTTGTGGTCTCCCTTCTTGAATACGGGTACAATAACACCCGTTCTCTAGTCCGCTGGTGTCTTTCCCGTAGACATCGCAGTTTGACAGACAGGAATAAGCTAGCACATGTCTTGTTCGTCTAATGCTTTGAGCATTTCAGGGCGGATTTCATCAATTTCAGCAGGCTTTCCATTTTTCAAGTTTCAAAAATCTATTTGCGCTACTAAATTTACTTTGAATTGACTTTGTGAGAAGATGGACGAAATGACACCATCGGTCAGTTACCGACTGATGTCAATATTTTTTGTAGCGGAACCCTTTTTGTCAACTTAGCATATCAATCAGAAACGAATTACCCGTCAATCTTGATAACTTCTTTAAGCCTTCATTCCATCTCTGCCTTTAATTCCTTTTCCCACTCCTTCTTCTGTTTGGTCTTAATCTTGGATTTGTACGCACTCTTTGATGCTCCGTTTGGGCTTTGATAACTACCCGTTCTCGATCTAATTACTTTGCTCTGGTGATTGTTAGCTAGTTGATATCGCAACTCCAGATTAAGAAACTATTCGATTCTACCGTTCTCTTCGCCATGACGAAAATTGAAGACAAGAAACTCACGGTCAAATAAAAGGCTGTGGAGCAAAGAATCTGCAATGTCTTCCCCCGGGATCATGTACCAAGCCCAGGTCTTGGGCAAGGACGAAAGATCGTCAACACTGGCGACGTAGTCTAAATGCCACTGCTCCAAGTTATGCGAATGAGCAAGTTGCATGCAAATCTGGCTGAATGAATGTGTTCGTCGGTATTCATTGAATTCTTGACTCACTCTCGAATCATGATTGACATTACTTTTTAACACTACAAATTAGTCTCAGTAAATGCTTTCGTTGAAGTTAAAGTTATTAATTTGCTAAAACGTTCTAATGCAAAAGATTCCCCGCTTTATAATGATTACTTTGTAGAAGCGGACTACGTTCGAGGTTGCTACTTTACGAATTGGGCGCAGTACCGGTCAGGCATTGGCCAGTACTCTCCATCATACTACGTACCTGGCTTATGCACCCATATATTTTACGCGTTTGCCAATATTGATGAAACTATACCCGCGATATTGTAAGTGTAAAATTATAATCTGCATTCAGTCCGAACGTAATTTAATTTACGGCATGATGTTTCACCTTTCAACATAGAATTATTTATATGCATAATCATAGTATTACATTTATATAAATGCAAATTCTATATCCGTTTAGTGAGTAGGCAACATAATCGTAATGCCCTAAACTGTCTATATGAAATTATGTTACTTTCCAGGCACAGTGTATGTTTTGTTCTAAACATCCCGCTGGTAATGTTTCCATCTCATTACCGGATTTCTCAAGCGATGGTAAACATGATGGAAGATCCGTACAAGAAGACCAAATGCGCCGTCCGAACTGAAGGACGGTTGTTGCATCGGTTCGATGTGCCCAGTGGCATGATTCTCTATCCGTTGTTATTCAATGTAATGTGGATTACGTAATGCTGAGGTTCGTGGTCCTAAGCAACAAGGAGGACCGAACCTTAGTCAGCGATGCAGCTGAAGAGACCCGGCGGTATTCCTAATGGACTTTGAGTACGCCAATGACCCCATATTACTGAGCCAATCCGTAAACGCGTGTGCAAACAACGTTATGAGGGTAGTTCTGCAAGTGAACGCCAAAAGTACTAAGGTATTGATAGGGCCAGCCACAACCGGGGGTTCAATGATAGTTTAAAGTGGATCACTTGAAGTACCTTGGAACTCTGCTCACCATAGAGTCGGCGTTGGTCCTGAAGTGATTCAGAGTTGCCCACTGGCAACAGCAAATTATTGCAAGCTATATAACACATGGATGGATCGGATTATAATAACAAACACGGTGATCACCATTCTGAAAGCAGCCGCATTCACCGTGATCGTGCACTGCCTCGAAACACGTGGCTTCGAAGCATCACGAAGCTCGTTTTGACAGCTTTCAATAACGCTGTCCGTGCAGCATCCTCAAAATGAGATGGTATCACCGCGATATGAACGAAAAAGTGCTGAGGATCACTTTTATGAAAAAATTATCAGATGAACTCAGAAACCGACGCCTGACTTGGTTTGAAATGGAAATATATTCACTAGTTTTATCTCTTAGAAACCATGCAGTGGTCACAACTCGTGGGAGGACAACATAAAACGGAAAAAACCCTTTTTGGAACAGACCTGCTTGAGGAGAGTAGTGTGGTCTATCACTGCAATGAACTTTGCCTAATGTCAGTTTGAAAAACTATTTCTTACCGTCAAACATCATAAGTCTGGATGATAAAACAACAATGTTTCAATCCATTTCCTGACTTTAGAACTGTTTTTCCTTTCATTAATTTTGTAAGACAGAAAGAGTTACACAAAATGTTGAGTTTTTGTAATGCATAAGTTCAGAAACAAATCTTTAGGGTTTCTAAAATCTTTATACATTAAAACGATCATAATTGATAACATCAAAGCATGAGGCACGATAAATTGTCTGATGAACAGACGTACATGGTTTATGTACATACACTGTGTTATACTGTTTTCAGTGCGACCATAAACGTATGAAAAAATACTAAATCTTCAGATTCGGAATGTGTCTTATCAGATACGGGTTTACTGTGCATAGTAGAAATATGGACAATTTTATTAAAGGTTCTGCAGAAAATTATTCGCCATCATAACATTTCGTACAGCTATTTGGTGAAATATAGCCTGATGATCATTCGGTTGTAAATGATTTCGTATAAAAGTCATATTTAAGGCCGTTTGAATGGAACGATTTGTCAACCGAGTGGTCTAAAGGCTTTTACGACCAGGTCAACGATCTTAAAGCCAAACAACCGGGTCTAAAGACCCTACTGTCGGTCGGTGGCTACAATATGGGAACCGCGTAAAATGGGTAGCTAATCGAACGGCGGCTTAATTTTAATGCTGGTTTTCTAGAAAATTCCAAACGGTGACTTCGACAGCCGCAAATCGCAAGTTGTTCATCGACTCAGTGATCACTTTCGTTCGTGCCAACAACTTTGACGGATTCGATGTCGACTGGGAGTACCCTGACGAATCAACGGAGACCAACTACGCGGCGTTTCTAAAAGTATTCTATTTTTCGACGTCATTCATGCATGGTCGACAAATGCCCTGCTTTCAGGAGCTGCAAAGCGCCTTTTCGGCAGAAGCTCAGGCGACCGGTCGGCCGAAGTTGCTGCTTACTGCTGCCGTCACAGCCGCGGTTGAAAAAATTCAGCCAGGATACGACGTAGCAGCCATGCAACAGTGAGGGAGTAATGATTATTTTCGGCTCAGCCACATCTTTTCTCCGCCATGACGTTCAACTTGCTGTTACTCTTTCTGGACATTGAGGAAATTGAGGATATTGAGTTAGATCGAATCACCCACCTTACACTTTCTGATGTATATGAATTCTTGTCTCTTCTTTGGGATAAAACAGAAAGCTGCAGAATATAACCTTCACTCAACTGCAGATGCAGAGTTGCTTCGTGAACTAAACAATTCTTCGCCAATGATAAACTCACAGCCTCGTGTCCGACGTCTGTCAAATCGCTGTTTCCGCACAGCAGACTTGTCGCCGACAGCGAACGGTTTATGCTCAATCATTGTGCTTAATTAGGCTAAGCTTCTTTTCATTTCGTGATCCCTGGTTTTAATTTGAATATTAGTTATTTGAAGTGACAAAAACCGTTCCTTTATTATGTGACGTCGCCAATTCGTTAATCCATGGCCACGGTCTATAAACTGCGCAAATCGTTAGAAAAGTTACTGCAAAGAAGAGAATTTATCTAAATTAATTAAGTGCAAGTATGATTGAATTGAAATTAATTTTTAGGTCCCTCGACTACCTGAACATAATGGCCTATGATTTCCATGGAGTTTGGGAATCTACCACTGGAATGAATAGTCCTTTGTATGGCAGAAAAGACGACAGCGCAGCGTTCGCTAATTGGAACGTCGTACGTGATTTCCATAATCTGTCGCTGCCTGATATCTGTAACAAAAATATTCATATTTCAAGACTTGCATTTTGTTCTAATCGTTTGAAGGTATATCAACGTCAAGGAAGAATGCCCTGCCCCAGTTCAAAGCGTGTCTCTGTGAATACTTGCAGGATTACATAAGAACTCATGGAAACGGCAAATCAGAAATAAGTTAAATCGAAGAAACGCCTAAGTTTCGACTGCATCTGCAAACCCGTTCAATATTTGGGCTAGAAAGGAACTAATCTTCCCAAGATCCCAAAATCCGCATGTGACATACCTCTAACGGTTTAGTGTTGTTGTGCAGCTTGACGTTGCAGTTGTTTTAATGAGCAAGAGAGAACGAGGGTTCAGCTTCGTGCAGCAGCGTTGGCATTGACACATGATGGGAGTTAAATGGAAGAACAGCGTAAAGAACGGCTGCATTTTCTTTGGGACACAAATGACTTCAGTAGATGCAGAGATTAAGAAAAGGAAATTGGTCCCGTTCGACAAAGCGGTTGAGCACACACCATTTACTCCTGTTAGACAGTCTCTTGTGCGGCAGCTGAAACACGGTAGAAGTCTACAAGAAGGCCAGCATGCAACATGGGGAAACTAAATAGAAGCAAACTTACTTTCAGAGAATAACATTTGTCTATGCGATGCTGTAGCCTCTATCATACAGCAAAAGTGTTCAAATGCTGCGGATACAAAGGAAGTTGCAAAGCAAAAATGTTCTGGCTGTGCAAACGGCTCAAAATGTTAATCTCAACAAGCTTTCACACAACCACTCATACGTTGCTTACATGCGCCAGTGAGTTTCGTGCAGGCGAACACTGTATTTCAGGCGTACTGTACCTCCCACTCTGGGTCATTAAAACAAACCAAGGCTATTGGTCAAGGTATTTGTCCAAGAGGGCTTTGGAATACGCCGTGGAACTTGCCATCTAAGAACTCACTCCTTCAGACGCGAGGGACGGACTACGATCCGTCAAAGGTCAGAGTGAAGGTATAGGGTCATGTCATTGAAGCTTGTCACGAGGATGCAGGAATTAACTTACTAACTAGTTTAGCTAAAATCGTTCGGTATGTGATGGCGTATTATCGCGTGTATCAATATCCACGGCGATCATTCTGCACGTTTTTTAGTTGCCGACCACTACGTGGTTCTCACCCAATACATGATAGAAATTTATCAGAAGAATCCCTCAAAATCACAACTTTACAACAAGAAATAGATGTGGCACTATCGCTGCCCCAAGGACTACACAAGGAAAAACTCGAGGACGCCAGCTATGCATACCTCCGCCATCAGGTGGACCGTATGAGTTCGTTGAACTGATAAACCAACAACAGAAAGAGGACGATAAGTGTTCGTTTGAGCCATGTTTAAACACAGCCACTCGACAGTACGCTGTCCATGCGTGCGAAATGGGTACTGATCGATTCAACCGTCCCACCCGCTGAGCGAAGTGGCTCGTTTGAGAGACAAGCAGTGCATGTCAAGAATTACCAATTCGGTTCCGCTGATCTGTAAACGTGTACTCGGTCGTCCAAGAACATTCTGGAACGGCCTGATGGTCGAATTATTTGACCCGAGATGGAAGCACAAGGCGGAGAACAGAAAATGCTCTAGGAGTGGCCATTGTGTTTATATCAACCCATGGCCACGGCTAATTGGATAACGGACGACAGAGTTCAATTCAGTCAACCTAAATACCGCGTTTTTAGTACTATTGTTTCTGTTCTGCCTGAGAATCATGTTGATATTGACGAGTGGTTGTCACCTAGGCTTCCGCAAGCGATGGATGGAACAAAGCAGGAATGGCGAAAGAAAAAATTCTCGTCGGTTTGCCAACGTATGGCCGCGGATGGACCCTGGCCGACCCCAAATCTTTTGGCGTTGGTGCAGCGACAAGCGGTGGATCGCCTCAATTTCCTTATTCTCAACAACCAGGAATGGCTGCATATTTTGAAGTAATGAGTCAGCCTGAATGGTTTCAGATTGAAAATTAAATATGCACTGTAGATATGCTCGTTGCTTGACCAAGGAGCCACTCGTTACTTTGATCCTGAGTCGAAAGTTCCATATATGGTGAAGGATAATCAGTGGTACTCGTATGACGATCGCGAAAGCTTCGGTGACAAGGCAAGCTGACAGATCAAGCGTGAAGCTGTCATCGCATAACTTTTGCGCATTGCTTCAGCTCGATTTTGTGATAGCCCAAGGTTACGCTGGCGCGTTCGTCTGGACTTTGGATTTTGACAGCTTTAATCAGCAGTGTAAGTCAGTCTCTCCGTCTACCTACCCGCTGGTATCAATGATGCAAGAAAAGCTGGGTGGAACTACGCCGCAGTCAACAGTAAGTTTAACTAACTGATTTTCAGGTTATACTTTTTAAAAACTTGTTTCGTGAGCCCAGTTCACTATGATCGTTCCAAAGATACGTATCAGCAAAACGATGCCACGTATAATATATATATATATATATCGGTCCGTCTTCAGAGTACATTAACAAGGGCACCTAATATTTCTCCTTATATATATTACTGGTGCCGTG